TCGGTGTGAAGTGCACCTTTTTGGGGGTTGTCCCACAGGTAAGGGTCCAGCCCCTGTGCTCGGGACACATGCCAGGAAAGCCCCGAGCGTGGTGTGGCTCTGAGGGTCCCAAAGGTGCTGGGTGGGAGCCGATGCAGCACCGTGATCTTGCAGCAGACAGAGCAAGTCTTTGCTGCTTTTCGGAGAAGCCTCGATGCTTCTTTGCAGGCAGGATCGGAGAGCAGCAAACCAGCAAAACTACTGAAAGATCAAAAAATTAAAAAAGAAAAGAAGGAGAAACCCATGTCTGCCTTGAGGCACAGCCGGTGCGAAGGGAGCCCACGGTGGGATCGGCCCGTGGCAGAAGGAGCTGGAGCACAGACCTGGAAGGTGCCAGGGTTGGGCCCTGTGGATTAACGGGTGAGCACTGGGGGCCAGGCACCCCCCTGCTCTCTGAAAATAATTGTGACAGTTTCCTTTACTGGAAAGCAAGCAGAACCTAAATATGAAAACTGGGGGGGAAAATAATGAAATGAATACAGGGTGGTATTTGAAAACCAGTCGTATACTGCAGCAGCTTTTAACCTCTCGTTTGCCCGGGTCTGAAAGGGCAGGGCTGCTCTCCGCTGCGCCGGGTACCATGGCCTGCCTTTCTCCAGATGCGGTATTTACAGCTAACATCTGACCAGGCTTTTGCTAAATAAGCAGTGTTGGGAAACTGAACCGTGCGGAAGTTCAGCTGCTGCCTGCGCCAACCGCCTCGACTCTGTCCTGCCATCACAAGATGCACAGCAGCCTGGTAATGAAAAATGCAGGATGCCGGCTGGTAGTTTTAAGCAGAAACCTCCACACTCTATCTGATGCGGCGTAAGAGCTGAAATGGAGAGAAAAGGCACTCGTGGTAAATAGGGTATTTATTGCCGGTTTGAAATGCGAGTGCAGAGGTGGTGGAGCCGTTCGTTTAAAAACAGCCACCGCCCAAAACCACTCCAGGCAGATGTTTGAAAATTTCACTTTATTTCTCTTTTATAAAAGCCAGTTTTGGTTCGTTTTTTTTTTTTTTTTACATCTCTGTAAGTGTCCAGACTCGGTACATCTTGTTTTTATTTTCACAGTATCTCTGCAAGACCAAGGACGATTCTTATTGCTGCGCCAGGAGCCAGGGCAGGAGGGATGGCGATGCCGAGGTTCAGGCAGCCCTCGCCTTCCCCCCTCCTCGCTGCTGGACCCAGCCTTGCTCTCCTCCGCGCCGGCTCAACAGGTCTACCCCTCCCCAACGCCGCTTAATATCTTTGTTGACTCTCCGAGGCGCTGCCCCTCTCTCACCACGCTCATCTCGGTGTCAAGGGTAGGAAACGAGAACCGAACGGTCCGCGACGCCGTGTCGGTCGTGCTCGACGGCGCCTGCCAGCCCCCGCCCCGCTGCGGGTGAGGGTCTCGGCCAGGGCTCGCCCTGCTCTTCCCACCCTGGACCGCTATGGGATGTTGACAGGGATGGTCAGGCTACTCTCTCCGCTCCCGTGGTGATTTGGGGCCACAAAGAGCTGGGGATCATCGGTGGGAGAGGTGAGGCAGAGAGAAGCTCACGTACGTCAGTATCCCGTGTTGGTGCCCCATCACCTTCCCAGCGTATCCTTTGTGCATTCCCGGTTCTGCAAAAAGCTGCCAGAGAAGGAGCTTTATTTACCTCTGCTTATTTACCACTTTACTTGGTGCAGGATGCCCCAGGTCCCCAGACATTTAAGTCCCCGTTGGGACCCTGTCAATACGCGTTCTAATCATATGGCTATTAACCAGCCTTATCAATAGCGATGTCTATAGCACCTGTTACTTCCAGCCACGTTCCTTTTATATTCAATCTGTCCCCGTCAGTTTTGTCATGAAGCAGCATTGGAAAAACATCACTTTTAATCACAACACACAAAATCTCAAAAGAGGCAGCATCACTTTTCTGTGCCGTGTCTGGTGATGTGAATGGCGGTGGAGGGGCACGTTTCAACCTAGGCACGGGATAAAGGCATTCTTTGGGAAGGGAGGAGTCCATGCAAAGCCGACCCCAATGTGAAATTTGAATTTCATATTTACTGCTTAGCTGGGTCTGTTCAGTGCAACAGGACGAATTAGCCAGGAGGTTACTATCAAATTGCACGGATGCGTCCAGTCCACCAGGTAGAGGGAGTAGGAGGAACCCGGTTTACTTAATGCACTGGGAGACTAAGTCCAACACAAAGCTAAGTGGAAAAGGACGTAGGTGTTCCCTGAATGTGGTTTTTGGTGACTGAGAAGAAATCTTTCCTTGGAATTCCTTCGTGCAGCTAATTAAGACAACTGGGTCTGATATCTTCAACCCATGCTGACATCAGTGAGAACTGTAAGTACTCAGCACCTGGAGACAAAGTGAATACCAGACATAAACACCCCTTCTGCTCCCACCCGCGGGACTCCCCAGAAGTGCATCTAAGCGGTAGCCAAGATGCGTGCAAGCGTTATCAGCTATTCACCCACAGCTCACATTTTGTCCTCTTCTGCATGTATTGCCTAGGAGAAAATACAGACAAGTCCCAAAGGGCTGTGCCAGTAGAGCTATAGTTAGGATTGGAATCCATGTAAGAAAATGGAGTTTAATACAGAGAGTGACTGTGCAAGTCAAAGTCTCCCTAGCTTCATCCTTTATAGTCCCAAGGCCTGGATTTAGGCAACCTTTGGCTCATGGATTTGGGTTTGATCCAGTCCGTTTGTTTGCAAGCTGCTTGTAATGCTGGACTTCCTACCTCAGAGATCTGCCCGTTGAAGAGAGCAGCTCCGTGGCTGAGCATCTCTGAAAACCAGTGCATGGAGGAGGGTGGGCTCCCCTGGAAACGGAGGCATGCTTGCAGGGACCCAGGATCCTTGTTTGCTGGTTTGAGACTGTCGGGGGGGGGCATATCTTCTGGGCGTGCTTTCCCCAGGCAGGTGGTGATGTTGAACCTGTTGCCAAAGTAGATGGCGTGGCTTTGGAGAAGTGAGGAAGGAGAATTTCTTGCTGGTAATGTCCGATGGGGAAGATGAAGATGGCAATAGCAGCTAATTGGTGCCTCTCCGAGGGGAGAGCCTTTTGAGCAGCGTGTGTGCGGTTGTAAGACCTGTTTAGACCAGCTCAGCAGGGCCAGGCTCGTATCTGGCACGCCGAGCGCTCTTCAGTCCCGGCTCTTGAGGCAGATTGTTAATAAGAGGAAGAAATGGTATCTAGGGGAAGGAGCTGCAGAGGGAAAGGGGAAGCGATCTGCCTCGGGCCACGTGCTGGAGCAAGAGAGCAGATCGTCCGCTGCCCGTCCTGTGCCCTGTCCTCCAGATGCCACCTCTGCTGCAGAAATTCCTCAGCCGGCAAACCGTGCCCCTTCCATTCAAAGGGCTCCTCTGTGCTGCGCTCCACAGAAGCGCATCTGGTTATCTCTGAAGCCATCTGGTCCTTCTTAAAACCTGCAGGTTCCACATCCTGCTTCAAAAGCACCTTACTTACTGGCGGATCTACACCCAAGACTCGGGTGTTGCCCTGCTTGCACCTTCTCCTGCATTACCCTTTGCTACATAGATGTTTGTGCCATAACCAGACAGGTACGGAGTCACCCATGGTCCTGTCTGTACCCCATTCCTGACAGTTGTGTAGACATGAGGTCATCTGGAAGAAAATGATCTACTAACCCCAACGTGATTTGTTGTCACGGGAAGAAGAGAGGTTTTCGTAGCTTTTGCTTATAGTGTTTGCTAGGAATGGGTGCCTGTTATTTTCAGACGTGGCTGTTCCTGAATTATGGATATTGCTGGGTAGACTCAGTAGATAAGATCTGCCCTCGCTTACACCCATGCATCTCCAATGACTTCAGAAGGATCCTTTTTATATCCTGCTCTTCTTACAGCACCGTCATTTGGATTTCATGGGAAAACAGGGCAACAGAGCTTCACCCAACAACAGCCGGTGCCCGAGCTGTTGGCTCTTATGCCACGAGAAGGTGAGACTGTAGGCTAGCTGGGCAAACGTCTGCGTGTTCTAAAGACAAACCCAGTGGGACATCCCCCCCTCCCCTCGATTTATGTTGACTCCCAGGGCCACGATACCAGCTGTGAGATTATCCCATATTCTAATGCTAACAGGAGACTGAGATCACCAAGTGTAAGCTGTGCAAGTTTGCTTGCTACCCCTTCTGCGAAGCAGGGAGATGGCCTAGTAGCTCCCACTCAAGAGACATCCTACAGCAGGTTTGTTATTTGCATTGCTTTTGAAACGGAGATTATTTCCATGCTTCCTCGTTCCAGGTTTTAAAATCAGGAAGATTTTCCTTTTATCACACTTCATCCAATTTCATGCCCTTTTCATTTATCAGCCCGTGACACACTGACAATCTATTCCTTGTTTCAAAACTTTCTCCTGAAAATTCTGTAGAAAGGACATTCTGCCTGGTGGTGTTTTTGTTGTTTTTTTTTCAAACATAGCTTTAAGGCAAAAGTTTGGCAATGCAAAGCAAAGTCTACATAAGGCCGCATGACTTGGATTTGCAACTCAGAACCTTACAGCTTAAAAAAAAAAAAAAATCCTTATCTCAAATAGTCAACTTTTTGCTCCAGGAACTTGTTTTGTTCTCAACCAAAAAGGAAAAAAAAAGACTCTTAAAATCCCAAATAAAATGTTCTGATTGTTCTGGGCAGTCTGGACAAGCTAATGAGACTGAAGTTCAAACAGTAACTAAAGTAGGGAAGGAAAAAAAAAAAAAGCTATACGGGTAGACATCAGTGTTAGTTTCTTCCCTTAGGAATCCAGTGATGAGACAGACCCCAGTCAAAGGTCTCCTCTTTAGCTTTAGCACAGTGAAATCCGTCCCAATGGGAGAAGGTAGAATGGTTGCATTTGTTAAATGAATAAAAAGTGCATTTTGATTTTGCTCAGATTATACGTGTGTATTCTAATACCTAAGTGATTGTTTTGCTTCGTTGTTGGTTTTTTTTTTTCTTTTTTTTTTTTTTTTCTCCCTTTTGGTGCCAGGACGCCAGGTTTATATTATCGATGTTTTGGAGGTATCACCACAAGTGGTGGTCCATCCTTTGGCCTCCACATGAGTACCTGAGCATCATTGGCATTGGGTTTGACAAGGGCACTGGGTGGTATTGGCTCATTCTTGCTAAGGACCTGGGGCTGCTCTTGAGCAGAGGGTTCCTGCAGCTTGGCACGCTGCCCCAAGGGTCTGCTGGGATTTACCTCGATGCCCAGCCTCATGCGCCATTTGATAGTCTGCAAGGTCACCATTTCGTTGGTAGCCGTGTTGGTTGCAACCAGCCAGGTGGTGAAGCTTTGATCCCGGTGAATGCTCGTGAGTTTGGCCACGTTGCTCTCGCTGACGGGCACTGCCCACGTCACGCTCGGGTAAAAGTTGTCATTCATGCTGATGTTGAACTTGGACTCCTTCTTCGTGGGCCCCACGATGGTGCAGGTTTCTGTCGTGTTTCCATACCAGGGATAGTTCACTCCATCTGAGTCACTGATGGCCTGGATTTTACCGTCCAGTAGATCCGGAAGCTCCCAACTTGACCTGCCATAATCAACGACAAATTATGGATAATGCATTAATTAATTAGTTTAGAAACATGCCAGACTTGAAGGAAGGAGAGGAAGTAGTTCCGAACACATTCCCCCTTTAGCTTTTACTGGAATTTGTGCCTTTCAAACCGCCCTGCTGAAAGAGCTCATCCCTGCCATTAAAACTGTGTCTGCAAATTTCCAGGACCGATCACGAAAGTCTGTCCTGCTGCTCAACACCACTGAGGAACCATCACCCTGCAGGGCCAGGGCTTTCCTTGCAGGGACCGGTGGGTACCTGGAGCGGTTCAAAAGATGTTGCTGTTCACGTAAGGCTGCAAAGGGTAGGTGCTCAGGAAGGCTCTGGTGTTGGAGAAAATGCAGGAATCTTCTTGCAACTCCTTGGCTGTCTGAACACAAGGACTCGCTCCAGCACCGCGTTCAGCATCTCAACCCTTGTGCCGGTGAGAGCAGGGCTGAGTTTCTTTCTCTCAATAACACAAAATCTCCCGTGTCGGCAGAAGAAGGGGCAAGCTCAGAGCTGGCCCTGGGGGTGAGGTTGACAGAAGACCTAAGCGGTGGAAGTAAGTTCAAGGACTCAACGGGTCCATAAAGTTTCCCATTGCCCCGTTCTGTTCTTCCCTTTCAGTCTCTACCTGCAAACATTCATTTTCTCGCTGGATAAGTCACTGTCCCTCCCCGCTGTCAGCCTGGCGCTGGAAGCGTAACCCATCCTTCTCCAGCCCTAGGAAGGACCCAGTTCAAAGGCTGCACACCAGGCTCCGGGCTGGGGATGGTATTACAGTAATCAGAGAAACCGAGGTCAGCCAGCTTGTAAAACTGCCTGAGCCGGTCGTCTGTGTGCTGCGCTTGCGAGACTGACAGAAAGGTCAGTCTTTCTAGCAAGAAAGTAAGTGAAAATGGTCACCTTGTAATGCTGATGCACAACTTGGATTTTTTTTTTTTATTAACTTCCAATTTAATTTTTAAGATTAGATTTGCCAATAGAAGCAAACTACTGTAAATGTCTCGGAAAAAGCGTTAGGTATTTGCAGAGTAGAAGCACTAAGATGGTATAACCATAGACTACGTGCTCAGCACGTGCCAGGTATTTTAAGGACATTCTTTTAAAAACCAGGCTACTAGAGGTGGCTCTAATGTCCCTTCTTCCCCTTGCTTACAAATCCGCCCTCCCCGCCGTCCGAGTGGCAGAAGAGGCTGTGTGACAGCAGCACCAGCTCGCTCCCAGCAGCTCCCAGCAGCTCCCAGCGTGGCATTTGCGCTTGACCCCGCCGTGGGGCTGGGATGCTGAGCTGCGCGCCAGCCCCCCGAGCCCTGCGGCTCCCTGCTGCGAGCTGTACCACAGGACATGGGTTATCTTGGGAGGGAGACAGAGGGGACGCGCTCAGGCTCATCAGGATAACTGTCCAAGCCTTTAATAAGTCCGGTGCTGCGGCTTAAAATAGCCCCTTGACCGAAGCGGGGGCTGCGGCCGGGCACAGGCAGGCGGGGGGGGGGTACAAATCGGGCCCGGCCGGCTCTGACGCAGCTTTGGGATGAGCTGCTCCTCTCTGCTGGCCAGGACTAATGTGACCATCTCACAAGGCTGTTCTGATTGTTAATTAGTTAATGACCGTGAACTGCTTCCATGTTTGTAACCGCTGGATCATTCAGCAGTTAGCTGTAAATGTCTGGCTGTAGCTAGAAGGTACCGGAGGGGATTTAAAGATCTCATTTATCTTTTTTCACGCGAGCAGGGGTCCTAGCAAAAAAAAAATTTTAAAAAATCTCCACTGTGCCATGGCAGGCGTTGGGTAAAGGGCTGCACCACGCAGGAGCCGGCTGGTTTGCGGGTCGGACGGCCTGGCAGGGACCCAGAAGGGTAAGGGCAAGGCAGGACACGGGCTGCTCCGGGGGATGCAGGGATGCTCCGGGGGATGCAGGGATGCTCTGAGCGGCAGGCCCGGGGGTTAGCAGCAGCCGGGGGTTATGCAAGCGTGAACATCTCCCCGCTCAGATTTATGGGCTGCTGTCAGCTATGGCACCGCGGCTGCAGCAATCCTCTCCTCCTGAGCTCGTAGCCAGCAGGCAGAGGGAGTCCTTTCCCTGGAAGAAAATTTTTAGCGAAGGAAGCCAAAAGGAGATCCCTAAGCAGTCCTGCCAGGACCCCCATCCACTGGAGAGATGTTTATACGTTGTGCCTTCTAAACCGAAGTCATCCTGGCTCACTGTCCCCCCGGCTCTTCAGGGAGAGCTGAGGAGGGACAGGCTCTGGGGATGTTGGATGAACTCAGCCCTCGGCGGGTGGATGAGCGGAGGTCGTGCTCTGCAGCCCCCCACCTCCTCCCCGCCGCACAGCCCGGCTCTGAAACACCATCCCGGGGCTCTTTCTCTGCCTTTCAGCAGATGGTTTAGGATTACTTTCCATTCAGACAGCGGCCGGTACTCAGCTTGGCTGTCACCTGGGGATGAGATGTGACAATTTCCTAGAGGTTTACCCTGTGACAAGCGGGGTGCTAAGGTGCAGCCGCAGCATCGCTGTGGGTACAGAGGTGCCAAACTGGGACCTGGGATGCTACAAGAGGCTGATAACCCTCCTGGGCTGCTCCAGCCTACTCCAGTCAGAGGCTGGTGGGCGAAATGGCAGGAGAATCGGGTGGAGGATGCTCAGAAACCGCAGGTCAGCTAAGATCTACTTGTCCCCATCTTCGTTCCCAGTAGACGTATCCGACCCCAGACCAGTACAGAACTGCAGGACCTTCTCAGGATTTGCCCAGGATTTAAACGAGAGCAAAAAGGTGGAGCTGTGTCAGGGCCCGGGCAGGTAGCTGAAGGCATGATGCTGCCTGCAGAGGCTGAGAAACCCCACTGCAAAGCCAAGCGTGTTCGTGAGCAGCGTGGCTGTGCTCAGGGGCCTCAGAAGTGCACCCTGCTTAAGAAAAAGCGTGGGCAGGAACGGGGAAGAAGAAACCGGCCTGTGTTTCTTCGTGGAGCACGCTGTGCCTAATTCTAGCGAGTGTGGTTAACCCTGGGGTTTCAAAACTATCACGCTTTATCTGTGCAGCTTAGTAACAAGAAGAAAAACGAGGCCTTATGATGATCCCATGACTGGAGCAAAAGCAGAGGCTGCACGACGGTTGCTGCTGCTGGTGGTTGCCCCTCGCCTGCTGCTACAGCAAAGCCTGCGTGCCAGCCAGGTTGGTAGCCTTTGCTTGCATAGTGTGTCCATCTTAAATAATACGGCAACAACTGGCCTTCTGGATGATTTTGGAAAGAACACTGTGGAATGATCTTTGGCTGCATCAGCATCTTTCTGTGGTGGTGCCGAGCCAAGGAAAGACCAGAAAGTGCCCAGTAAACATTTTGCTGACAATAGCAGGGAAGAGGCGTGAAAAGAAACCAACCTATCTGGTTTCAGGGATTCACTATAGCTGATCAGCTCCAAAATCAGTAGATTCTGGCTTGTAATACTGACAAGCTTGTTCCTGCTACTTCTGAAACCTTCAGAGTCAGTACGGGCATTGCCAGAGACTGGAGCTGCCAGCAAACCTCTCCTAGCAAATGTCTTCTTGCTACCAGGAGAAGGAACTTTTGAGCCATTTCTTGTGGCACAACTGTAGCCCAGCTGCTGACAGCCAAGCAGCTTTATGTAGGTTTTAGCCTCCTAGTCCTCGTTCAGATACGTTTCTTCCTATTCTGTCACACGAAACGAAGCCCCCAGCTTATCCCGAGCCCTCCAGATGGCTGCCCCACAGCACAAACCGAAGCAATCACTGCAGTGGCCTGTGCCGTGACAGCAAATCCAAGCACAGCAGCCTCCAGCCCTTTGCATCCAGCAGTGACACGAGTATATTCAGTTAACCTTTTCAGACAGGCATCAGGCGCTATTGCATCTCAGCCCCAATTCCTTAAAGCCAGCTCCTAATTAGTCACAGGCCAGATGGACATGCATAACCTCGTGCTTTCCACCACCCTTCCTCTCTACCAGCTCCCTAAAGAAGAGAAGCCCCGCTCAGACACAGGCTGTGCTCGGTGCAGGTACCAGTGCAACGCGTGGGCGCAGCGAAAAGCCGTCTCGGGTATTTCACATCCCTGCTCCTACCTGCCTCCCTCCCTCCACCTCTGCGCCTGTGCTGGTGACTTGCTGAAAGAAAGAAAACCCGATAGTCGGAGCTGCTTCATTTTAAATTGTCCTTTGCAGTGCCTCTCTCACCTACTCCGGTACGTCAAGCAATTCAAGCCAGGGTTATAGTGAAGAACAGGAAGGAAATTTAAGATGTTGGTCCCCAGCTGTCGGAGCCACGCTGCTGTGGTCCTTCTTCCCCCCCACCCTCCAGCTCCATGTTCCTGCCTCGTCTCTTGACCCGGCAGCGATGCTTGATGCGTGCTGGTTCAGGGGGTAAAACTAGCAGAAAACCGGCATTAAGAAGAAGGGACAAATTTCTGCTGGTTGAGCTGAGCAGGCTCAAATCAGACTGGACAAACTATTTAACTGCGCTAAGGTGCGTCCTTAGAGCACAGATAAGGGCCAGGGGCCATGCAAGGGCAGCGAAGCCTTTTCCTCTAAACCCCTGGAGGGATAAATTCCCATGGCGAAGTGACCCTCCCTTTGCTTCCCATGGAAAGGATAACCTTTTTTTTTTTTCTTGGGTGAATCTGTTTTTGATTGTGCTTTTCCTCCTGAGGACCAGGGGTTTATTTTCTTGACAAGTTGATTTCTCGAATTCATTGTGTGCTGCAGGGCACAGAAGATTTAATCTCACAAGAGAGATGCCCAGTAACGTAAAGCAATGATGTAATGCCACCCAGCTCCCCCATCGGGTCCTCCAGGGGAGAAATATCTACCTGAAACTTCTCCAGCTTCTTGACTGATCATATTCAAACTCCGATTTATTTATCTCTCTGTTTTGCATATCTCCATCTGCACCGCTTCTTGCACATCTCCATGGAGATGAAGAAACAAGGCTGGATAATGCCATTCTGGCATTGCCCAGCCGCTGACACGGGTCCCACCAGATGCTGCACAACTGGGTGCAGAAACCAGCACCCACCCCAGGAGATCCCAGCGAGGACCTGGTCCAGCTGCTCCTGCACAGGTCAGAGCTCTGCGGCCCGATCCTGATGCCTCCCACTGCACAGCAGCATCGTTCCCTAAGGGTACAGGGTAAAACCCTGCTTGGGGGGAAGCAGTAATACCAGCCATGGGACCAAACGGGAGTTTGCCCCAGTTCTGCACGGAGTGGGGGGGTCAGAGAGCACGTCCACATCCTCATGCTGGGAGCTTTCATGTTCCCAGCAGCATCTGCTGACTTACATGTAAAATAATGCCAGCATTTACGTGTTATCTGAGCTTTAATTATTTTCCCTTACATTTAAAAACGCTGCATTTAGCCCCAGAATTGTCAGTGCCACTTTAAACGCGTGTGTCTAAATTATCCCCTCTGTAGCTAACATCCCTATAGGAGTGTTATGCACAGCTCCATCTGCTCCAGTATTTCTCAGCTGTTTCTGTCCTCAACGTAATGGCCAGCTTATACACAGCTAACAACTCCGGAGTATGAAAGTGAAAAATTAATCCAAAGCCTGCTGCAAGTATTGATGCTCCAGCTGACCAACTGACTTTTGATTATTTGGAGTTTTCTGTCTGCCTGTCACCACAGCGATTAAAAATATGTATGTTGCAGCAGTCTCTCTTCATCATGGAAAGTTGGGACAAAGACTGTTGGCATAAATCAATGCAGCTCCGCGGAGGTCAGTGGGATTACATCGAGTTACACCGGCTAAAGGCTTGGCCCACCCTTTCAGATAGGTCTGTGTCCTGTCTCTCTCTATATAAAGGTCTTCCAAAAGCATGTTTCAATGGCACTGAAAGAGGCCTTTCCTCCCAAACACCTTTATTTATAGCTTTCAGATGGTGACGGGGCTATAGAGAGAGAGTGGAGGAGCAGACCAATTCCTACTTATGTTTGGGTAACTCTTTTTTTTTTTTATATCAGTTAAATGTCAATGAACCTCCTAGGGAAAAATCTTTGTTTCTGTGATTTTCTGGCTAATAGCTCTCCTACATAGCTGCAGTGTTTAATTCTGACTACCTGTTTACAGCACTTAGCTTGTAGATACAACTTTTTTTGTCTCAAAGCACTCCAGCAAGGGAAGAGCAAATCCTCATTTTAAGCACAGGGAAATTCAGGTGCAGAGAAATAAAAGGACATGTTGAGGTTTGCAGCCCACAGCAGGACTGACGGAACAGCTCTCTGCCCAGTCCTCTTCATTTCAGTGGATGTGAGCTGTATTTATATACAGTGGACTTTTCTGTTTTCCTTTTGCAGCTGGCCACTAAAGACAGGATTTCTAAATGAGCCTGAGAATTACACATGCAAATCCCAAAGGCCTGGAATTGGGAACATCTGAGCAACAATTTGTCCTTGCTAAAGATGGTGTTGGAGCCAAAAGGCTACAGATTTCAGGCCTGTTGTAAGCACTTTTAAAATCAAGATAGGCTGGTCTGCTCCTTTGCTGAGCCTCGCTGCTGCTGTTTGCCAGGTGCTAGTTCGCTTCTCAAGGCACTTTCTGCTTGAGCAGAGAGGGGACGTGGGGACAGAAGGGGGGGACAGTCTGTCACTTACGGCTGCTCCTCGGCATGCCCTTCCCTCTGATCCACATCTTACAACGCGCGTTCGCTCTACGTCTGGGATGCTGAACCCGTGTCCTCATCTGGGCTTACGGGCAGAAGGGCGGAAAGAAGGGCCAGGGCGTGCGTGCAGATGTTCAGGCTGTCAGGAATTACAGCATTAACTCAGAGTTCGTCCTGCTCTCCAGCCCTACTCCTTGTCCCTATCCTCCCTCAGCCCTCCTCGGTCACCATTTCTTAAGCCCCCCAGATTGACCCTCGAGGGGCTGAGCCGGCATCCCCCTGACCCAGGGCACTTGGGAGCGTTCCTTAGACCTGACCTTCCCGTCTTTTCTCTCCCTTGCCCCCAGAGACCGGGCAGCATCCCTGCCTCCAGCTACCAACCCATCTGCCAGCACCGGGCTCTGCGGTCAGGTTTTGTCCCCGTGGCTGGACAGACAGATTTCTGCTGCACCGGGAGGCTGCACCTGGTGCTGCCCAGCACCGTGAGTTGCAGAATTGCTGTTCTGTGCAGGCATTTGGAGATCGGGTGCCGTTGCTGATTTAACTACGGGCCAAAGCCTGCAACGAGGTTTGGTGAACAAACTGGTGGGGGACCGGGGAGAGATGACTTTACTCGGTAGGGAGATGACATTTTAATTTGACTCATTCCTGTCTCACTATGACTGTCTGACCAGCAACGCACGGGTTTTGGTGTGCCAACAGCCCCTAGATTCCCCCTACCTTACCTATATACCTATATATTCCCACCCCCGCGTTACCTGAAAGGAGGGTAATGTGAAATTTTCACCTGCTCCCAGTGATGCAAAGGGTTTCGTTATCAGTGGGTTAAATCCATCTTGGTCTTTCCCTGTGGGCTGCCTGCTACCGCGGGCAAAGCAAGCAGGATTCCTCCTGTGACATTAAACGGGCTCCCAAAGCTGGTGGGCTACCGAGCTCACAGCCATGGCCCACTGCAGCAGCCGTACGGCACGCCGGGGACGGCACCGTGCCACAAGTGTCAGCTCTCGGGTTTCCCTGGGGCTTGTCAATGCAGAGTTTTACCCCGTAAGGGATGGGAAGGGATGCTGAAGCGAGGAGCTGGCGCTCAGGGGAAGCCCTCGTGTAAAACACGTATCAAAACAGGGGTGCCTGTCGTGGCAGGGCTGACTTGGGATTTCAGGATCGCTGGTGCTGCCCAAAAGCTGTTGTGAAATACGGCATTGCTTTTGGGTTCCTAACAGAACAAGTGGGTTTTGGTTAGGGCTTGGGCACATTCCCACTAGAAGAGAAGAACACCCACAAGCTCTCCTGTATTTTAAACTTACGAGAAAGTCCTCAGTTAAGTTTCAGAAGAGCTGGGCTTTAAAAATCAAACCACCTGAATTATCGTTTTTGGCTTAATCCAGTATTTCCCAGCCAGGCCGTGGTCCTCCCGCTCTTTCTTCCCGCTAGGCAAATGCACCCGCACGCGCTGCTGGAAATACTTACATTCCCTGTTCCCCGTAGTGATTGTAAAATTCCATGTGGCTGCAAGCCTGGATCCAGCCCACGATCCAGGTCTCCTTCTTGGGAATAGGGGGCACCAACACTTGCGCAGAGGCTCGGAAGTGAGGGGTCCGGTAGCGCAGGACCACGCTGGAGGACTCGTCGATGCTGGTGGGAATGGGATCGATGGAGGCTTTGACTTCAATCACTGAAATACTTTCCCGGAAAACTTTGGATTTGCAGCTAATACTCTGAATACAGCCCATGGCATACCCCGAGTACAGTCCGACGCAGCTCCTAGGGTACTCCAGCAATCCTGGGGAATATTAGGCATTGAAATTATCTGGTGCTAGATCAATTACAGATCTTCTTGGTTTGTAATCTCAAAACTGATATCCATAGGATAGAAAATTCATCAGGTAAAGCCTTAATTTGAGTATCTGTCTTACAAGTACTGCTCCTATTTTTGAGGTTAGCTGCACTTCAGAAGCAAAAGGGCCTTTAAAATTTTTTTCCCCTTTTAACGACCCATTAAATCTTTCGCTCAAACAGTCTTTGGGTTAAAAAAAAGGTCTCTCGAGTTCAATAAATAACGGTGGTGTTCTTAGCCGATATATTTAGTCCTTCCTTTCCTCAGATGCGGTCTGTCATTCACCGTCAAACATAGGACTGGCCGGTATTTCCCTTTATTCTTTGGATGAAAAGCAGAATGTTGATAGACACATCTATATAAATAATGAAATAGTTTTTAGCCCCAGCTTGTCACAACCGGTGTGGATTTCCACTTCCTGACTTGCAGTTGTTCATAACTTCCTTTCGCACAAAATTACAATAATAACAGAAAGAAACGCCGGGTGGAAAACGCAAAAAAAAAGTAGCCAAAATCTCCGATTTGGGAGGCTCCTCCGCCAGCGATGTCGGGGCTTTGGGGCGAGAGGTGGGGTTTTTTTTTTTTTTTTTCCTCTCCTTAGAAATAGCCGAAACCATACAGAAGAAATCGAAGGTCCTGGTCACGCAGGCGGGCTCCGGGGGCTGCGCAGCTGGGCAGGAGCAGCAGCAGCAGCAGCAGCAGCAGCAGC